TGTGAAATGTGGGCTTCCCTGGTGGCTCAGATGGTAAAGAATCTGCCTGCAGGGCAGGAGACCTGGTTTGATCCCTGGGTCAAGAAGATCCCCTGAAGAAGGGAATGGCAACCCACTCCAGTATTCTTGCCTGGAGAATTCTGTGGACAGAGGAAACTGGCAGGCTACAGTCCATGGGGCTGCAAAGAGTCAGAACTGAGGGACTAGCATTTTCACCAAGTCCTCTCCGCCACCCCCACCCCCATCCAGTGAGATGCATTTGGTGCTGGGCTCTTCACTGTCAATGTGCTGTGCTATGTTGACTGCTCCATGAGGGCAAGGATGTTTGCCAAAGGAATTCCCAGCAGTATCCCAAAAGCCTGGGACACAGAATATGAGGAATGGATGAATGAAAAAGTCAGACCCAGGAAAGGGCAGGGACCAAGCAGGGAGCAGTGAGAGAGAGGCCCGACCCTGGCCAGGTTGCCGAGTGAGCAGGTGGGTGTGGGTGCATGCCCAAGGAAGGGTGATGACTTGGAGGTCGGGCTGTTTCCCCTCCCTCCCCACCGCCCGCCCCTCCACCCCAGTCGACGGGCAGCCCCGCATGGACCTGCAGTATCATAAGAAAAATGAATTCCAATGGAATCCTGGCCTGACTGGCAGCATCATTTCCGTGTGTCTGGCTGTCTTGGCCTTCGGTGTCATCGTGGCTTCGTGAGTCATCCCTGCCCTCTCCTGAGGTCGCCAAACGCCCCCACTGGGCCCCTCAAGGAAAGGCACTGCCCTGGATCAGTCACTCATTTGGGAATCTCTCCGCAATCATTTTATGCCTCTGTCTCTCCTCCCCCTCACTATCTCTTTTTCTTTTCTTTCATATCTCTCTGACCATCTCTCTCTCTCCTCTCTGCTTCCTCCCCCACCCCTGGGCCCCATTATGTCTTTCCTGGGTCCTCAATCTAGAGCCTGCTGTCTTTTCCCCTTCTTTCTGTTTCCACGTTTCATACCCTCTCTCCCAGTCCCAACGTTTCTCTCCTCCCTCCTCATGTTAACTGATTGGCTGAGAACCCTGGAAATCCGCCCGGAGACTCATGATGTCACTGGCTGAGCCAAATAAAGCCGATGATTGGAGGGACGGATTTGGGTGGTCGGTAGACCTGGTGGGGGTCTGAAGTTCTTTTTCTAACCGGTGGGCTTTTTCTCTCTGACCAGGGCTATTACATACAGGCGAAACCGAAAACTCCTGCTTCAGTAGGGCGCTGGTTTTGAGGTCTGTAAGGGGAAAGGAAAAGAAGTTTATTAAAGTCTGTGACAAATTCCTCAATGTCTCCATCAGTATCTGGAGGACTCTGCCTCAGCTGGTGTCCGGCTCTGCTCCCCTGGCTGAGTGCTTCTCAAGGGTTGGGACCATGTCTCACTCATCTGTCAGTTCCAATTACCCTAATTCAAAGTAGAAGTTATTTAGACTTTCAAGAGTGATCGATAAATTACGATGAGGACTTCAGGGGGGCAAGCATTGATACTTTTTTTGGGGGGGGGGGGAATGCATCTGAAAGGAGAAGCACTGTGGTGCAACCATAAAGGTCAAAAGCTTGCCTGTTGCCTGATACCTATCTTACCTGTTGCCAAGATACCAATTTTAATACCTGCACAGTAGAGCTCACTTTGGGGCGGTCTTGAAGAGAGATAACAGAGGAGGTGACCTCTGAAACAGAACCATCTCCAGTTGAGAGGACTTTAGAGTTGTTTCCAGCCTCTCCAAGCGTAGGCGTACTTCTCAGGAGGTCACGTCGCTCCCGATGTGCTCGCCGTCCCCTTCACCTGCACCACTGGCCTGCGTTTGGGGGTATTGCAGCCCCTTCGGAGATGCTCACTTCTTAAGCTGGTGGGCAGACCAGTGCCTACCCTGGGAAAGCTTTTAGCTTGGGGGGATGAACAGAGCCTAAGCTGGTGGCTTCAAGATGCTTTTTGCTTGGGTAGTAGTGTTTTTTTGGTTTTTAGAAATATCTTCACACTACAGGTCCAGCCACTGCCTATTTTCCTGGGAATTTCCTTGGAGTAATACACAATAGATGGGTACTTAAACTGTTCATAAATTATAGTGTGATAAAAAAATTATAGTGTGATGAGAGCTCCAGGAGAGCTCAGTCTGGGGTGGGAGAGACAGATAGTTACCTAATAATTACAATACAGCAATTATTATACTATCAAGGTGGTGGGAACCCAAGGGTGGGAGTTGCCAATTCTGGCTAGGCCAAATGGCAATGAAATGGAGCAGGACTCCATGGTCCTTCCCCCCATGTCCTCAGCCAGCCTTTTTTTTTTTTTCCTGTGCAAAAACTTCAACTAAAGAATAAGCATCATCAGAAAAGTGAGAAAATGCAGAAGAAAAAAACAAAATAATCCAACAAGACTAAATAAGAGTTTAGTATTTAAACATGGTTAAGGAACTTTAGTTCCTTCTCAGGGGTTATAGCTAATAGTCTGAGCCACATCCTATGAGCTGTCTTGTAGATATTTAAATACCACCCCAATCACATGGAAGAAGTTATATACATGATGGCCAGACTGTAGCTGTGACATAAACTGCCACTGTTCTGAGAATTGGCCTCAAGGAAATAGGAACAAATTGATCTTGGATCTGAAGATTAGTTGTACTTAAAATAATCAAGATGCCTCTAGTCAGCCCACCGATGACCAATTTCAAGATGACTGTCAGAGCTGACTGTGCTGTGTCTGCATGTAGTCCCCTCTCTCAGCCTATAAAAGCTTTGTCCACTGGTTGTGTGTGTGGGTGTCCGCCATCCCCCCAAGTTCAGTTCAGTTCAGTTGCTCAGTTGTGTCCAACTCTTTGCGACCCCATGAACTGCAGCACTCCACGCCTCCCTGTCCATCACCAACTCCCGGAGTTTACTCAAACTCATGTCCATTGAATCAGTGATGCCATCCAACCATCTCTTCCTCTGTTGTCCCCTTTTCCTCCTGCCCTCAATCTTTCCCAGCATCAGGATCTTTTCAAATGAGTCAGCTCTTCGCATGAGGTGGCCAAAGTATTGGAGTTTCAGCTTCAACATCAGTCCTTCCAATGAACACCCAGGACTGATCTCCTTTAGGATGGACTGGTTGGATCTCCTTGCAGTTCAAGGGGACTCTGAAGAGTCTTCTCCAACACCACAGTTCAAAAGCTTCAATTCTTCAGCACTCAGCTTTCTTTATAGTCCAACTCTCACATCCATACATGACTACTGGAAAAACCTTAGCCTTGACTAGATGGACCTTTGTTGACAAAGTAATGTCTCTGCTTTTTAATATGCTGTCTAGGTTGGCCATAACTTTCCTTCCAAGGAGTAAGTGTCTTTTAATTTCATGGCTGCAATTACCATCTGCAGTGATTTTGGAGCCCCTCAAAATAAAGTCAGCCACTGTTTCCACTGTTTCCCCATCTATTTGCCATGAAGAACAATATTGCATAGGAACCTGGAATGTTAGGTCCATGAATCAAAGCAGATTGGAAGTGGTCAAACAGGAGATGGCAAGAGTGAACATCAACATTCTAGGAATCAGTGAACCAAGATGGACTGAAATGGGTGAATTTAACTCAGATGACCATTATATCCACTACTGTGGGCAGGAATCCCTGAGAAGAAATGGAGTAGCCATCAAAGTCAACAGAAGAGTCCGAAATGCAGTACTTGGATGCAATCTCAAAAACGACAGAATGATCTCTGTTCATTTCCAAGGCAAACCATTCAGTATCACAGTAATCCAAGTCTATGGCCCGACCAGTAACGCTGAAGAAGCTGAAGTTGAACGGTTCTATGAAGACCTACAAGACCTTTAAAAACTAACACCCAAAAAAGATGTCCTTTTCATTACAGGGGACTGGAATGCAAAAGTAGGAAGTCAAGAAACACCTGGAGTAATAGGCAAATTTGGCCTTGGAGTACAGAATGAAGCAGGGCAAAGGCTAATAGAGTTTTGCCAAGAGAACGCACTTGTCATAGTAAACACCCTCTTCCAACAACACAAGAGAAGACTCCACACATGGACATCACCAGATGGCCAACACCAAAATCAGATTGATTATATTCTTTGCAGCCAAAGATGGAGAAGCTCGATACAGTCAGCAACAACAAGACCGGGAGCTAACAAAAAGCAAAGGAGAAAAGGAAAGATATAACCATTTGAATGCAGAGTTTCCCCCAAGTTGCCAGCATCCAAAATAAAGCATATTTTCTTCTCCACCAGCCTTGTCTCTTTATTGGCTTTTAAGCAGCAAGCAGTGTGATCCCACTTTCACTTATAGAAACAGAGGAAAGTTTCCTACAGGAGGCTGTAAGAGCTTTTCCTGAAAGAAAAGTAGGAATTTTCCAAAAGTAGAAAAGAGAGGATATTGTGGACAGAGGGAACAGAAAATACAAAGATCAAGAGATGGGAACTATTAATAACTTGACGTAGATGGTGTTTTCCATCTACAGCACATATTCTACTGGCGTTACTTAGTTCAACCTATTCAAACCTCACAACCCAATGCAGAGGATATTTTTTATCTCCCCCTCTACAGTGAAACTGAACCAAACAGGAAGGAGGTTGCCCAGGAAAATTGAGCAATTAAGTAACAGGCTCGATTCGTTCACCATCAGTGGTGTCTTGAAGACTTTTACCTTAGCAGGAGGTAGTTCAGTTAGATGGGTTGACTTGCCTATGACGTCGTCTTCTGTGGAGGACAGTGAAAGACTCTGGCTATAACAGGAACACTCACTGTGCCAGGAGAGCCATACATTTCCCAAATACCATGTTTTCAGGAGCTGCAAAGCAGCTATTTACACCTGTTCTCTCTCCCGACATTCTATTTCTGGACTCCATTTCCCAGCATTCCCGCGCTCTCAGAGACCCGAGGCCTGGAGAAGCGTGAGCCGCAACGGTTTCCGGGAAATGTGGTCCAGTTTGCGAAACCGAGTTTAAAGTACCGGGACTTGTGGTACCGCGCAGGCGCTCTCCGGGGCTCGAAGGAGGGCGGGAAGGCCTGGCCGCCGTGCACCACCCGCGGGGGCGCACAGGTGAGTTCGGATCTCGCGGACCCGAGAGGTAGCAGCTGGGTGTGGGCTGGCCCAAGCAGGCAGGCAGGCACGTAGGGGGCGGGCCAGAGTCCGCCTGGGTGGGAGGGGAAGGGCGCTGTGGGCAGCGCCCCGCCCCCTCCTGCAGCTCGCGAGGCGGCCCCAGAGCCGACTGCCTTCCACTCAGCGCGCAGGAATTGGGCGCCTGCTGTTTTCGAGGAGTCTATCCGAGTGCAGAAATGTTGCGATTTCCTAGAAAGGAGAGTGTATCAGTTCTTCATTTGGCAGGTGAAGAAAGCGATCAGGGAGATTCCGTGGCTTCTCCCAGAACCCAGTGCTGATGAGTGGTCCTCATCACCTTCACGCCCAGGGATGTCCAACCCCAAAGCCCTAGCCTGCTCTGCACGGTCACGCCTTCGGTGCCTGTCCTGATCCTGAGCGTCTGTTCCCCTCTTTGGGTCTCATCTTCCCTCTCTAATATCCCACCATCACCCTAATCCCCATTCTGTCTCCCTCTCTCTCCCTAGGTCTCTGCTTCTTTATCTCTGCGTCTGTCCCCTTCTCTCTGGGTCTCTGTGTGCCCCCCGGCCCCCATAAGTCTCTGTGTTTTTTCTAAAAACAAAGTTTCAGTTTCCTCCAAAACCATTGCATCACGATCACACGAGGAAGTGAACATCCATACAATACAATTGATTAGCTGCTCTGCAAGCTTTCCTCAGACTTCAATAATTGTCCTAATAATGTCCTAAATGGCAAAAGAAAAATCCCATATCATGCACTGCATTCGTGGTCCTATCTGTTTAGTCTCTGTTAACCTGGAGACGGAATCTCCGTTCAGTCTTTTTTTGACCTTCATCCATCTCAGCAATCCTGAAAATAACACACCGTGTACTTCTAGACAGTCCCTCAGTTTAGACATGTTGGAAGTTCTCTCGTGTTTAGATTTAGGTCACATGCTTTTGGCAGGAATACCTTAGGAATGATGCTGTGTCCTTAACAGACCAGCAGCCTGTGATGTCAGCTTGGCCATCACCGGTCACATTGGTCTTGATCAATTGGCTTGCTTAAAAATTACCTTCATTTTATAATTACAGTAATCACCTTCCCCTTGGAAGACACACTCAAAGATCCCCAGTGGATGGCTGAAATCCCAGAAAGTACTGAACCCTCTATATACCATTGTTAACTAAAGAATAAGACAACCAGTTATTTTACCAGCAAAATGGGCTTGTTCAAGAATAACAGAGAATTGTAATTCTGGAAAAGAAGGTTATAGCAAAAGCCGTGGGAAGTTCAACAAATGAGAGAGGGAGCTTTATTTTATAGAGGAAAAAACAAAACAAGGAATTCAGGAAGAGTTGTTTCTAACAAAAGTCCATTGGAGAAAAGTGAAAGTTCCAGGTGATTATGGTTTTTCATTGGCCTAGTTGCTTGCCCTAGTTAATTTCTTGAAGGAGATACAGTGTACATCTTTTCCAGTTTTATGTGTGTTCAGTGGCTAAGTTATGTCCAGTTCTTTGCAACTGTAGCTTGTCAGGCTCCTCTGTATTGGAAATCTCCAGGCAAGAATACTGCAGTAGGTAGCCATTCCCTCCTCCAGGGGATCTTCCTGACCCAGAGATTGAACCTGCATCTCCTGCATTG